CGAAACGTCAGCAATTGTGTTCTAATAAATTCTATATTAACAACCTCGTGTCTGCTTATTGATGAAAAACATTGAACTTCGTGTCTGTTTATTGAAGAAAAACGTCAGATTTCTTTCCATTGTTTTCGTGAAGTACTCTGACAATCGGGTCGGTGATCTTCCTGCAATGCGTTTAACATCCCGAGAAATCCAATCACTAACGGCTCTTCTCCATCGATAGTCGTTCAAAGGCATTGCGTGTACGGCCCACCTTCGACTGTTTGGCGTACAGAACGGCATCTTTGATTTTTGATCGTTGACACAACTCGGGGCTTTGGTTTCCTTCCGTTACTTGTGTGAAACCGGATACTTCTAGCAACGTCTTTTCGACTGCGCGTCCAATAACGCTGAGTGATCTTTCATCCTGCTTACGTAGAGACCATGTGCCTGACGCATACGTTAACGCAGGAAGTACCGCTGAGTCGAAAAGGTGGGCACGGAGAAGGGTGTTCCTTGTTCTCCTCATTACTTCTTTAATGTCCTTGAAAGCTCTCCAAGCAGCTTGTTTCCTTCTGCTCAGCTATGGAGATAGGTGGTTCATCATATTTATTTCCGGACCTAAATAGATATAACTGGAGCGTTCGGAGATATTCGTTCCGTTGAGCGTGAATGGGGCATGCGAAACCAATCAGTTCTTCATGAACATCGTTTTTGTGAGATTTAGTCGATGACCAATCTTTGCACAAGCTTTATCAGAGTCGGTAAGCATACGTTCAGCTTGACTAATGTTTGATGTTATAAGGACGATGTCAGCAAAGCGAAGATCGTGTAATTGCCGATCATCGACTTTCACTCCCCATTCCAATATTCGCACGACGTTCTGGACTGTGGCATCAAATTTTGGCGAGGCGGTATCGCCTTGCCTAATCCCTATTTTGACGTCGATATTAATATTGTAGAATGGTGATATTTTGGTTGTGAAATTTTCAAACAGCTTGTGAAGAGTCCTTATATTCTGAGTAGGGACTCACTGCCTGTCCACAGCTTCTATGACTGATTCTTTCTCAATTGTGTCAAAAACTTTCTTTTCATCGTTGAAAGTAAGACAGTGCGGTCTCTTCCATTCTCGTAATGCTTAAATGAGTCTAGTGATCGTCTGTATGTGGTCTGTCATAGCGTATGCTTTTGGAAACTGCTTGCTCACATTGCTCTCCTTCGTCCACTGTTCTGCCAACCTTGGAATGAGAACCTTGAATTCTGATAGGCCATGTGTGAGAAGACAACCAGTGTGTTTATGAGGACTGGCAAGAAGTGTTGCCTTTGAGGTGTTTAGATCTCATCGTATCCGGGTCTGGTTTGTTGAAGTTACAGTGTGGGTCACAATCTAGTCACAATTTATTCACTACCTGTTATTTTTTATAGTAGGATATGATGTGAAATATAACTACAAAGATGCTGAGATATTTGCTTCAGCTTAATTGAGTTCAGCGCCTATTTGTGCTTCTCAGATCAATTCCGTTGATGGGTGATAACTGATAGCACCGATAAGTTAAAGGACGGTTGAGAGAAACGCGAAATGAACGACCCGCATAGTGTGGTGGTGAATACGTCATCCCACCTGAAAGGGCAATAGAGCGTTCTTTCTCCAGCGCATACACCTGAGGTCCGGAGTTTTGCAAATATCTCAGCACTTCATACAGTGAATTTAATTCTTCGTATTTTTGTTGAGCAGACGCGAGGTGTTATTATTCCTTATTCACAAATAAGCTGACGTTTCGGCGGATTTCGCCTTCCTCAGAGCCGCTTTCTATGAGGTTTCCACTAAGTATGTCACGTAGAGACCAACCGCACAGAAATCACATGGAAGTATAATGTCTGTACTGTCTGTCACATGTCAAAGCTGTGTTCAACGTGATTGTCAAAGCTGTGTTCAACGTGATTGAAATCTTGGTTTAGAGTTTGTTTGGTTATGGAGGCGTCTGGCCGAGTAGATTGCTGTCAACTTGACCTTTCCAGGCTCTGAGGAAGGCGAAATCCGCCGAAACGTCAGCTTATTCGTGAATAAGGAATAATAACACCTCGCGTTTGCTCAACAAAAATACGAAGAATTACTTGATCAATGCCGAGGTTAATAGAAAGTCGGTCGTACAGTAAATTTAGTTATGTAGAATGATATGCACGAGTATTTACTGGGATTTTATTGCTATTCTTTCCCTCTATCTTCCACGTTTATGGAGTTTCATTTCTCTGAATTTCTTTCCATAGTTGGTACCGTTTCTACAGGAAGTCATGGATGAAGCTGACTGACGATTCCATTGAATCAAAACCCACCTATACCTATATTACGATTCAGAAACGTCACCTCACTCGCTTCTACCAACCAACTGATGGTCAAGATGGACGGAAGACGTAAGAATTTCCCATTGTTTGTAAACTACCACCTTTACTTTTTCAACCTTATTTGGTTTTTTCGGATGTTTTAAAATGATCAACATTTAGTTACGTAAACGTGCCGTCTGGGACGGTGGTCGACAGTGTAGTGGTCTCCCCGATTCTCTTCGATTTCTATATGGCGTCACAAATCGGAGTTGTAGTTGGTGTAGTGATGCATTATACAAAAAAATTAGAAGCGACAAATTTCATCTTACAGGGAACTACTCGACCTTCCCACTACACTGTAGTTTTCGACGAGTGGGGTCTGAGTGCTGATAAAATCTATGTTTGTTTGTGTTTTTTGGCTTTTATTTCTTTCGCTACTGCGCGACTATTATTGTTCTTATCTAGTTTTTTAGTTATTTTATTTTATCTCCTTTTAACTTAACACGTTTAAATATAGCAGACAGTTTAGGAGATGTGCTATCGCCTTTGTTTTCTCTATGCCCGTTGTCGAATTCCCGTCTCTCTTCCTTGTCCTGTCTACTATGCTCACCGTGTTTGTGAAAAGGCAAAGGAGGTTTACAAGTCGTTGCTAAAGTTAGTTTTACTTTGTTATATGTCTTTCTCCTAAATTTTGTTTGAAGTTGGGACAGTGAAACTTTAATATTAAGAAGTTTTTCATTAAAATAAACACACTCAAATATGGCCTCACTGAGTATCCCCTCTTCTTCACTTGTACTTGACTGGTGTACGAAAAGATGTCGCCAGCAAAACCAATATTTGACAGCAATTTGCCATCAGTGAATATAACCTTTTTGTCTCATTTGAGCGATTTCATTATCATAGGTGCCACTACAAACAGCTAAAACGGGATGGTGTCGCCTTATGAAAACCCTTTTTCTAGAGGAATGGTAGGGGCTTGATGGAAAAGCTGTATTTTTGTGTTGCAATCACCATAGCAGTCATCCAGAGTTCTTAAGTGAAATGAGTCTACTTCCTTATGTACGAGCTCTGATAGGACTGAATTCTTTTCAACGTTGTCAAACGCTTTTTCGTTGTCCATAAAGGTTAGGACCGTGGGAACGTGGTGCTCTAGCCCAACTTGTTTGGTCTGGAATACGGTTTGTATGTGATCCGTGCAGCAGAATCCTTGTCAGAATCTTGCTTACCTAACTGGTTGTGCCTCATTCAAGGTCTTGGATAAGATATTCTTTGTTGCGAGCCTATAGAACACACTCAATAGCCAAATCGGGCACCGGTTACAAAAATCTATTCGTCGGTCGCACTTCTTATGGAGGATACCCGTACGCGACGTCCTCCACTAGTCTGGGGTTCTCTTGTGAGAGAAGTATATGTGATTGATGGCTTTCAGCTCTAAGGAAGTCGGCTGTAATATATCAGCTCTTGAAGTTAAGCCTTTTTTCATCCTTTCTATCGCAGCTTTTTCACTTCAGACAAAGGAATCCAAGTCGGTTTTCCCTGTCAAGGATATTCGGGTGCGGAACGAGAATGTGGGCAGTCTTTCCATTATTGATTCTGTATAGTGACAGGATGTGGCTGAAGTCGAATCGTTGTTCATTAGGGCTGATAGAGGAACATAACGTTTTCATTCTCATTTCATCAATTCCAACTCTTCCACTTCTTCTGGAAATATTATTGTTAAACAGCTTTAAAAGCAAGACACCAGGTTTAAGGAACCTTATTTATGGGTTCGATAAATAGCACTTTGTTAACATTTTATTTACTTCCATTATTATTTTCCACGGCAGGATATGATGTGAAATGCAACCATATGTTGCTTAGATATTTGCAAAATTTTGCACTGTAGACCAGATAGAGAAAGGCAAAGCAGGGGCGTCAGCGGTGCATAGAGTAATATGTGAACCCCACCAAAGGGTAATCCCGAGTTTGAATATGACGAGAGTCCAAGTTTTGCAAATATCTTACCATCATAGTGGTTGCGTAGATAGCGCTGTTCTAGACACCGATAACGTTTTTAACTAGTTAAATAAGCATCTTTCAGTTCATCAAGAATCTTTCCAGCTGAAAGTAAACCCTTTGGAGTCTACATCGCTTTACCAACATGAAACGAGTTTTCTTTTCCTACAAGAACAAAATTTCGTTTTCTGAAACTCTTGAAGCATTCTGTTTTTTCTTTAACGCCTGTATTTCGAATTCGGAAGCAATTGAACGGACGGTTTCCTTTATGAAGATGCGATCTTGCCTTCATATACACTCTGGCTGGCAGTTTGCGACGTTGCATGAAGAATCCATATTTTTTGAAACCCCAATTCCAAGACTTATTTAAATTCGATATGGCGAATCACAACGCCAAATTCGATATATACTTGCTTTCTTGGATACTTGGACGGTCCCATCTTCAATAGTTGTGCGGGTTCTAGCGCATCCGCCATTCGTTCCTTCGCAGTCGTTGTTTATGGTGGTGGTTTTATTCGGGCACGATGGTGCATGGGAGTCTCATACTGTGGTCTATAAAATATCACATTTGTTTCTACGCTGTCCAACTCTTTTTAGTGATCGATAAAGGTTAGAACAAAGAGCAGAGGGTGTTCCTGGCAAACTTTTATGATACGTGATACGGTTTAGATGTGGTCTTTGCAGTGAAACCTCTGCCGAAATCCTGCTTGCTCAATTAATAGCGCCTCATCCAATGTACCTGATATGAGCGGCAGGATAATCTTCGTGAACAGCTTACAGAACGGACCGGACAACCAAATCAGGCGGTAGTTACGAAGGTCCCTTCCGCCACCCTGTGCAGGATGACCGTGCGCGACGTCTTCCACTGGTCTGCGGTTTTCTTATGCGAGAACTATATACGATGTATGGCTTTTAACTTTAGGGAAGTCGGCTGTAATATTATCTGCTCTTGGAGTTATGCCTTTCTTCATCCTTTCTCTTGGAACTCTACTTTAAACAGTGGAATCCCAGGCGATTTTTCCCTGTCAAAAATATTAGGGTGCCGGACGGGGAACATTGAACGGCTAAGGTTGATGTCGATAGCATTCCAACATTGCTTTTATGTCATGGCACCATTTGGTTGAAGTCGCACCTTTTTTTCTTTAAGGCTGATATCGAAATACCATGTTTCCATTCTCGTTTCAGTCTCCAAACCCAAATTTTTCATTTCTGTAGTCATTTTTGTTCACCTTTCCTTATCTTAATAGAAATTTCCATCAGTGAATTTATGGATAAACTTTTCATTGCGGATTACTTATGCAAACTGATTTGGGATCTGTCATTTTGGCCGGCATCAGCTGCACAGGTTGGTGAGTGCCAGCTTATGATACTAAGCCCATTTTGACGCAGAGATTTGAGGCGAATAGACAAACAAAGTGGTACGCTCTCGTATGAGGCAACCTGATATGGAATGAATGGATTTGCGACAAAGCCATCACCATCAACATTTTGTGGTAGAATTTTTCCACCGTGAATGACGAAAACCCCGTTATCTAATTGACCTGCGTTTATCTTTTGATTTTTGCCGCAATTACTTGGAATTTGATGCGTCCAGTGACCTCAAGAACAGCGTAACGATCGGCGACTGAATGCACAGTTGTAGCATTTTAAGTGCAGAGTAAAAAATAAGCCTTATTTCGTGTCATGAGCGAGTTCGTCTTGTTCGGTTCCAGTGGTATCCTTTGAAGCACGAGATCTGATACTTCCCATTGGTTGTTGCGTTGCGCTACAAGTCACACTGTGCATCGTAATTCGACAATTAAAAACATCATCTCCAATCGTGTTCTTTTTTCTTCATTCATTTGCAAAGCACGTGCTAGAATATTTTCAGAAATAAACGTCAGCGTTATTCGTTACGTCACTGCTCTAAGCGACAGCTCATTTCCTTAACAGTAGTGCTTGCCGAGACTATTTAGGCACGATTCAACTAGTTGTAATGGATTGCTTCATTTATCAATTATTAAGCATTCAGCGTATGCTTCTTGGTTCGGCTTTGTTTTGGACATTCCATATTGTCATTTTAAATTTAGTTCAGCGCTTATTGTCTTTTTCTTGTCAATCCTGAAATTTGTGAGTCCCATCTTCTTAATCGTATAATACCTGCCGTAGTTGCTAATGAAAATTAGGTCTTCGAGTCAGTTTTCGGCACCTTATGACAACTAGATTTAAGTGAGATACTCGACTTCGTAGGAAGCTGCCACGTGGGACTTTTTCGCAGTTGTCGCGGAGCAGTGTATCAAACTTGGGTATTTAAACCGTTTGTAACAATAATAATGCCAGAATAATGATATATAAACATCGATACAATATAAGCTGCAATTTTGTATCATGATCAATAAGTCCACGGATCTCCCTCATATAAGGGATCTCGAGCGGGTTAATCGCGAGGTTACGTGGCGCGTCCCCATGTGGGGGTTAGCGGGTTAATGGCGGACCAAAAGCGACCTTTGCTTTCTTGAGACGCAGGTGGATCCAGGGGATTAACTCCCTGTTTCTGCTGCGCCGATTTTGCACATACTTTTTGTATATACGAGGCGTATTCATTCACACGTGTGGGTGCGTTCTAGTTTATCCACATTGTATTTTACGAGTCAATTCGTCCAAAAGTCTGCCTCGAAGTGTAGGGAAGTATATAGGAGGCAGTTAGGAGTCGTCTCCAACAAATAAGCTCCACGCTCTATGCAACCAAGAAGGATAAGGTACGATGTCATAGGCTTGGCCGAGACGAGAAGGCGCCATCCTTTCAACGCCGTCTATGGCACAAGAGAAGAACTGTTCTTCAGAACATGCGACAGTAGACGAGTCGGCAGCGTCGGCGTTCTCGTCGACACGAGTTTGTCCATGAACATCGATTCATTCGAACAACGTACAACCCGAAACGGACATTTGCGATTAAGAAGACGTGGATCAATTCTGGCTTTGACAATCTTCGTCGTTTACACGCCGACATCAAGCTATGGCGAAGAAGAAGTCGAAGCGTTCTATATGAACTTGGAGAAGCTCTACAGAGAAGACCACACATTCTTCAAGCTCATCATTGGAGATTTCAATGCCAAGATTGGACCAAGAAGAACGTCTGAAGAACGTCACATTGGGACCCACGGAGAATGGAACGAGCAGGGTGAGCGGCTGTCTGAGATTATCATGACGAACAGGACCATCCATGAAGTCGCACCCTCAACGCTGGACGTGGGGATCTTCCAGTGGAAAGTACCATAATTAAATAGACCACGTCATAGTAAATAGAAGGTTTTGCCTAACCGATGTCGCTGTTGTCCCAAAATTCTATACGGGATGAAACCACCGTCTCCTTCGTGTAAGATTCTATTTCTCGCAGAAAGGAGAAAAAGCCGCTAAATTTCAAAACCGAAGTCCCAGAACCACCGCAAACTGGGACTTATTCAATTCATTAGTCGACTGTTGGAAAGATGCTGTTGTGGATAACATCGACGAAGAATACGATCGGGTCATTCAACATCTTCACGTTAGCGTTATGAAAGCTCAGAGTTCGAAAGTCACCAAGAGACGTCTGTCTCCAGAAACACCCGAGCTGATACGCCAGCGTGGAATCGCACGAGCTGCAATCAACCGCGAACTTACTTGCAAAACAGTGCAGAGAGGCTATAAAAAAAGGTATTAGAGAGAGAAGAGCAGCAGTAATGGCCGAAGCTGCAGAGGCTGGGAAAAGCATTCACAAAGCCCACCGGAGCTTCGCCAACTACAAAACGGAAATGATTGCTCTACGGCGCCCAAACGGAACAGTTACAGTGTCCAGAAAGGCGATGGAGAAAATCATTCACGAATACTACTCGGATCTCTTCGATAGCCACGTCCACCTTCCATCATATGAAATAATGGGGGATGGATATGTCGTACCACTGGTTCTACCTTCCGAAATCCGGCATGCCATTTCGTCGGTGAAAAATCGAGCAGCACCAGGTCCGGACAGTATAAGACCAGAACACCTGAGAAACCTTACGCCAGTTCTCGTAAACACACTGGCTCGGCTCTTCACACGTTCTGAGTGCAGTATGAATGCAAGGTCCCTATTCAGTGGAAGACCAGCAAGACCGTGTTATTGTACAAGAAGAGTGACCTACACGGTATCGCCAACTGTCGCCCAATCTGCATGCTGTCTGTCGTCTGCAAACTTTTCACTCGAGTCATCCCAAACAGGATTGAACACTAGGCGAAGGACAGCCATGTGAGCAAGCAGTTTCAGCAAGCAAGCAGTTGAGCACTTTCGAAGAGGTTTTAGTACGATGGGCCACATCCACACGGTGATAAGGCTCATTCAAGTATCGCGAGAGTACAACGGACCGCTCTGTCTCACTTTCATCGATTTATAGGCCTTTGATTCAGTTGAGAAGCGGTCTTGGAAGCCCTTGGTAGTCAAGGAGTCCCTACTCAGTACATAAAAGTTCTTGGTGAACTGTACGAAGATTTTACAACCAAGATATCACCATCCTACAACGATATTAAAATTACATTGACAATATTATAATTACATTGACGTTAAAAGAGGAGTTAGGCAAGGCGATACCGTCTCGCCAAAATTAAACCATCTTGGTTTTGCTGATGACATTGTCTTTACAACATCAAACGTTAGCCAAGCGGAATGTATGCTTGACGACTTTGATAAAGTCTGTGGTAATATTGGTCTTCGACTAAATCTCTGAAAAACGATGTTCATGAAGAACAGATTGGTTTCGCATGCCCCATTCACGCTCAACGGAACGAATATCTCTGAATGCTCCAGTTATATCTATTTAGGTCGGGAAATCAACATGTTGAACGACTTAGCTCCAGAAGGAAACGAGCGGCCTGGTGGCTTTCAAGAGCATCGAAGATGTAGTGAAGAGAACAAATTACACCCGACTCCGTGCCTATCTTTTCAACACAACGGTACTTTCTGCCCTAGCGTATGCGTCAGAAATCTGGTCGCTGCGTTAGCAGGGTGAGAGGTCGATCATTCAGCGTTGTTGAACGTGCATTCGAAAGGACGATGCTATGAGTATCTCGTGTCACGCAAGTAAGGGAAGGGATGAGAAGCTCCGACCTGCATCAGCGATCGAAAATCAAGGATGCCGTTCTGTACGCCAGGCAGTCGAAGATAAGGTGGGCCGGACATGTAATGCATATGAATGACGACCGATGGACAAGAGCCGTTAGTAACTGGATTCCTCGGGATGTCAAACGTACTGCAGGAAGACCACCGACACGATGGTCACAGTTCTTCACGAAGAGCCTTGAAGAAAGATATGATGCTCGACGAGTCCCTATAGCGAGCAGAACCCACTTGGCTACTCTTGTGCGACAGGGAGAAATGGAAGATTTACTGGCGCCCGCTCGAGTCACTCGACGATCAACCGGACTACAGATGATACAAGTGACAGGTGATCAATAGGTGAGGGGTAAGGCTGGTTAGTAGGTTTGCTGTAGACTAGTGAAATTTTACTGTGTGCATATAGAATACATCAGTAGTGTCATAAAATGTGTGCCCATTAAGGCATTCGCGTAAGGCCGTAGTACCTGACTCACAAATAACAATACTATGGGGTTACGCCCTATATGTAGGCTCGTGATATCGTTCTGGTGAGATTAACATGTTAAGAGGGATACAAACTTGTGAGTACATTGCGGTGAGGCTAACATACTAACTTGTAGTAAGATTAACCTAAAATGAACACAGACTTAATGTGTTTAGAGGTACATGACAGCAAAGTTAACATACAATAATGACTACATACAATTAGAGTTAACACCTTGGATTATCTACATGGCGCAACGCATATAACGAGCAGGAGACCATAATAAGGCGAACACAGTAACTAACGGGACCATTTAAATGTCTCCTGGAGGAGGTGGTGTTTTGGCAGAGGTCCAAAACCATTAACGAAAACGTTCGTCGATTTCCGCTTCCGACTACCTCATGAGCAGATCAGATAACTGAAGATGGTTTCCCAAACAGCTTCATGCCCTTCATGTTACTGTGAGCATGAAAGTGCGAACATAAATAATACACAAAAGGTTACGATTGCACTAAGATGTTTGCATAACAAAGGCTGTTTGTGGCAAGCAAAGTTTCTTAGAATGAAGTGAAAACATTTACATACTGCGAGATTGCAAAGCAATATGAGATACAATGAATATGGTTACTGTGGAAGCCTGCGATAAAATGAAAGAACAGTAACTATTCTGGCAACAGTTGCTATAGTACCGTATTCTTGTGAAATATGTTAAAACTTGAAATGTACAAGGAGCCGAAATCGTGGTTAAGTTGCAAGCGAAATTTTAATTTTTCAAAATTTTCAACAGCTGCTTATCAGTTGCAAATATTAACAGTACAACCACAACGTTGCTGAGATATTTGCAAAACTCTGGACCGCAGGTGTCTATGGTGGGGAACGAACGCGCTATTATCCTTTCCGGGGAGTAACGCGTTCACCACCACACCATGCGGGTCCTTTGTTTCGCACGTCTCTCAGCTATTTCTATCGATCTTTTTGCCACAGCAATCACCCGTCAGCGGGGTTGATCTGGGGAGCGCAAATCGGCATAGAACCCAGTTAAGCTATGGCTGTAGTTGAAATCACAATGTTTTAACGTTTTGTTTTCTGCCTTCTATAATTTTCATGGCAGGTTACTAAGCGAAATACAACCACAACGTTGCTGAGATATTTGCAAAACTCTGGACCGCAGGTGTCTATGGTGGGGAACGAACGCGCTATTATCCTTTCCGGGGAGTAACGCGTTCACCACCACACCATGCGGGTCCTTTGTTTCGCACGTCTCTCAGCTA